GCCACTTATCTGTCTCTCATTCCACTGACCTTGGGCGTTATGCTCGCTTGTTCGACGGGATTTTCAACCAACTTCTTCGGGATCTTGTGCGCTTTAGTTGCGGCTATAGTATTTGTGTCCCAGAATATCTTCTCTAAGAAGCTCTTCAATGAAGCTGCGCGTGCTGAGTCGGAAATGCAGTCGTTAGGTCGAACCAAGTTGGATAAGCTCAACCTGCTTTATTACTGCTCTGGGTTAGCCTTTATCTTAACGCTACCCATTTGGTTGATCACTGAGGGGTATCCCTTATTCTCGGATATAGTCCAGGACGGGGCAATCTCTCTTTCGGAAAAGAAAGGATCCTTGGACCATGGTGCACTTTTCCTCGAGTTCGTGTTCAATGGGGTATCCCATTTTGCGCAGAATATTCTTGCATTTGTTCTGTTGTCGATGGTATCGCCCGTGTCTTACTCGGTTGCATCGTTGGTGAAGAGGGTGTTCGTTATTGTTGCCGCAATTATATGGTTCGGCAACTCGACCACTTCGCTGCAGGCTGTTGGGATTGCCCTTACTTTTCTTGGACTTTATCTTTATGATCGCAACAGCCATGACGATATGGCAGACCAGCGAGCCAACTCCGATTACTTCCGCACGAAAGGAAGTGTTCTCCCGCTAAATCATCAAACTAACAAAGCATGGGACTCGAATGGTTATTCATTCCCCGCGGAGAAAACTCCCGATCGATCAGCATACTACCCGGATAATCTTCCCATACCGAATCATCCCAAGAAGGAGGACGACGAGCCCAGTCGTGCTCGCACAAGAGGGAATAGCAATGCCAGGGCATGGCTCCCTCCTGGTACAAAGCAAGAAAAAACCTGGCAATCGAAAGATTCTTAGTGCGCAGGCTTTACTAATTGAGTCCTATCCCATTGTACCATATCATGGCATTATAACGTTGATATTATTACCAGGCTAGTGGGGTTTGCTTTTTACACTTTTTTTGTTCCCATCCGTTTCTTTCATTCAATTGTACAATATTCGGCAATATAATGGAACAACAAACTTCAAAAGATTCGAGCGATGAGCATGGCGTGGAGATGCGTCGATGATTTGGAGCAAGATATGAAAAGTTCTGAACTGGCGCTTCGTCCTGACGAATTGTGTACTCCATGGATTACTAATCTACTAATAATTGAAAAAAGACTCAGAATGTAAGCCAGACTCAATGGATACAGTTTGATTGAAAAACCAAAGGTAGAGAAGGTAGCATTGGTGAAAATTGATTGCGCCGTGGAACGGACAGTAGTAACCAGTAAGCTAAATTATAAATCAAATTATTATAGGGGAATGTTGCGGCTGTTGGTAAGGAACCACCCATCATCAGGCCAACGTCTTCATGGTGAAAACAACCCTAGGGAGCTCCAGCTCAGTCCATTTAGTCTCGGAACACGTAGCAGAGGAGGCAGACACTGAAAGCGCTCTGCCACCTACAATAAACATGCCCTTGAATGAGTTAGTAAAAGAAAAGAAAAAAAGAAGAAGAGAAGGAGAAGAAAGAAAAGACACAAATTTATGCTGCGGCAGGCGGGAAAGGAAAGGCTCGGATTAATGAATTCTCCACATAACCGAGCCAATCCGCGGCCGGCAATTTGCGAGTGACGCCCCAGACGGGCATAATGGCAGAATCCGTCCGAACGAGCCCAAAGTGCTTGCTCTCTTCAAGGACATCATCAAGCCTAGAAAAGCCTCACGCCCACTCCCTCCTTGCCAGCAATTCTTTGCTACGGGGCTTATTGCATTTCTTTCCTTCCCTCCCGTGTCCGTTTCATCATACAGCATGCGGCCGCAGCTGTTCCGTGCGGCCGCCCGGTCTATCCGGGGTTCGAAGGTCAACTATCCCAGGACCTTTGCGACGACAGTCCCTCGCTCCGCCGATGTGGAATTGACAATTGGTGGGTCTCAATGATTGACTTTGATTGTTATCGCCGCTAATTGACTTTTGTTACCAGATGGGAAGAAGATCTCAGTCGAAGGTGACTATATCTCTGAGCCGGCGTTTTGAAGCCCCTCCCCTACTTACACGATTTACAGCTGGCTCGGCCCTTATCCAGGCTTGCGAAAAGGCAGGCGCAACTATTCCCAGGTACAATCTTTCTTCGTCTTTCCTTTTTCTTGGAGGTAGATGTGATCAATTTTACTAACAGCTGGCTTTAGATACTGTTATCATGAGTACGTTCCGCGGCCCCCCAGGGTTCTCCCGTTGATAATACCGCTACTAACAAATTTGATAGAAAGCTATTGATCGCAGGAAACTGTATGTCCCCGGAGATTGAGTGATCAGGAGTGGAGAATCAGAGGACGAGCTAACATATATCAAGGCCGGATGTGTCTGGTGGAAGTAGAGCGTGCTCCCAAGCCGGTGGCTTCGTGTGCTTGGCCCGTCCAGCCCGGCATGAATGTCAAGACCAACTCGCCCCTGGTGCACAAAGCAAGGGAGGGCGTGATGGAATTTCTTTTGGCTAACCACCCTCTTGACTGCCCCATTTGTGACCAGGGAGGTGAGTGTGACCTTCAAGATCAGTCCATGCGGTATGGTGCCGACCGTGGGCGTTTCCACGAGGTTGGTGGCAAGCGTGCTGTCGAAGACAAGAATATCGGACCCCTCGTCAAGACATCCATGAACAGGTGTATCCATTGTACTCGTTGTGTCCGGTTCATGAACGATGTTGCCGGTGCCCCCGAACTCGGCACCGCTGGCCGAGGAAACGATATGCAGATTGGTACATATTTGGAGAGAAACCTCGATTCCGAGCTCTCCGGTAACATTGTCGACCTCTGCCCCGTTGGAGCCCTCACATCGAAGCCTTATGCCTTCCGCGCTCGTCCGTGGGAACTGAAACACACCGAATCGATTGACGTTCTCGACGCTTTGGGATCGAACATCCGTGTCGATACCAGGGGTATGGAAGTGATGCGGATCCTTCCGAGACTCAACGACGATATCAACGAAGAGTGGATCAACGACAAATCTCGCTATGCTTGTGATGGTTTGAAGACCCAACGATTGACGACGCCCCTCATCCGTCGGGATGGGAAGTTTGCGCCGGCCACGTGGGAACAAGCTCTCACTGAGATTTCGTCTGCCCATCAAAGACTGCAGCTCAAGGACAACGAATTCAAGGCCGTCGCTGGCCACCTCGTTGATGCCGAATCGCTTGTTGCCATGAAGGACCTGGCTAACAAGCTCGGTTCCGATAATCTCGCCTTGGATCAGCCCGGCGGTAGTTCGCCTGTCGCTCACGGTGTCGATGTTCGCTCGAATTATCTTTTCAACTCGAAGATCTACGGAATTGAAGAGGCAGATGCCATTCTCCTTGTTGCCACGAACCCTCGCCATGAGGCCTCCGTCCTCAACGCCCGCATTAGAAAGCAATACCTGCGCTCTGATCTGGAGATCGGACTTGTCGGACAAGAGTTCGATAGTACCTTTGACTACGAGCACCTTGGTGCCGACGTCGGTTCTTTGAAGGCCGCGCTCGCTGGGAAATTCGGAGAAAAGCTTGCCTCTGCCCAGCGGCCCATGATCGTTGTCGGTAGCGCTGCTGCCGAACACGCTGATTCCAAGGCAATTTTCGAAGCTGTTGGTAACTACGTGGAGAAGCATGCCAACGTTTTCAACACCCCCGAATGGCAAGGCTACAACGTCCTGCAGCGCGCCGCTTCCCGTGCTGCTGCCTACGAAGTTGGCTTCACCACGCCGTCGCCGGAAGTTGCTCAGACTAAGCCGAAGATGCTCTGGCTTCTCGGGGCCGATGAGGTTGCCCAGAGTGAGGTCCCTAGCGATGCATTCGTCATCTATCAGGGACATCACGGTGACCGCGGTGCTCAGCTTGCGGATGTCGTCCTGCCCGGCGCCGCCTACACTGAAAAGTCCGGGACCTACATCAACACCGAAGGCCGCGTGCAGGTCACTCGGGCAGCAACCTCTTTGCCTGGCGCTGCTCGCGACGACTGGAAGATTATCCGCGCCACTAGCGAGTTCTTAGATGCCCCTCTTCCCTACGATGACATCGAGGCTCTCCGTGATCGCATGGAGGAGATCAGCCCTGTGATGCGCCGATATGACGTTGTTGAGTCGACTAGCCTGGGTTCCTTGAGCAAGGTCCAATTGGTCGACCAGAACAAGGGCACCAAGCCAACTGACGCTCCTTTCCAGAGTGTCATCGAGGACTTCTATTTCACAGATACCATTTCCAGAAGGTAAGCTCTCCCCCGATTGTCCAAATCAATGTGCGCGAGACTTTGACAGTGAACTAATTCCCTTATCAGCTCACCTACCATGGCCCGTTGCTCGGCAGCCAAGGCTACCGGGAACCCCGAGACCAACTTCATGGCCGCTGGTGAAATGTCTCCCCAGGCTCTGTACGGTTAATTTTTTGGGGGGTCCGGTGGTGGCGGTCTTCCCAAACTTTTCTTTTTGAATAAAAGATCTTCTCTTGTGTGTTTTATCTACTGGTCTAGGCGTTGTTGTTTGTAACACCTAAACATAAATTCGTCTATTTGTTATAACCGTTGTCTACCATTTCTTTAAGAGTGCCTCCCAAATACCCTTGTGTATAATCTACCTATCACCAAGGGTAAACTTGTACATAAGACTGAAATCATTTAACAGGGCAGTAGAAAGTATTGTGAGATTGTAGGATAGGGCTGTCCTATTTGACATGATAGATTCTATGCAAACACGAACTGGAAGTTATCAGCGTTAGACTATATATATGAACCGTTCCTTCGAAGTTCTCGCATCAATATTCTATCAACCAAGCACTAGTTACACTACACCCTATATTCGTCCGAGAATTGATCCACGCTCATCACCAATCATGACAGGCTTGCTGATCAATGATGCGGGGAAGGAAGACTGTCTAAGATTGTTCTGCAGAGTTCCTTGGGATCACTAGACCTGTACGTGTTTTAACCACAATCAAGTTATACATACAGCCTACAAACCCTCAGTGGAATGAAGATTTAGATTGGATGGAAGAGAGATATCCTATTTGCCAATCACCATAAACCAAAGTTTACAGCTCATCATCATCACTTCCTTCGGTGGTGCCTTCCCCGGCATCCTCCTTTGTGGCCACCTGTGGCGTGTCGCTTGTGGATCTCTTTTGGAAAGGCAGAGATCTGCGCGGTGGAGGCACCAGGGGCGCTTTCTTGATAGCTGGACCACCTGAAGCTGCTTCTTTGTCGCCTGATGTCTTCTCATTATCCGATGCATCAGTGGTCGATAAAGCAGACCCGCCGGTCGTGGAATCATCGTCCCAATCGCGTTGTTGTGCAGCCGGTGCTTCTTCGTTTTGTTGCTCGCTCTGTTTCAGCCCACTATCGTCGATTTGCATTTTCTCGAACCCGTCTTCGCTCTCGGATACGTCGTCGGTGGACTGAGGGACACCGCGCTTCCCAGTCTGACTCTGCTGTATGGGAGACCCATCCGCCAGTGTCGTTTCAAGGTTAGACACTGGATTGAGATGACGTGAGCTTTCAGTTTCAGGTATTTTGTAGGCGTTTGGCCGCGGGGACTTACATTTCTCTGGGTCTACTTTGGCGGATGATAACAATCGTTGTTGGTTACGAATTTTGAGCTTCTTCTCATTCAAGAGCTGGGCAAAATTCCCCATCAGTTGCTCCTCGTGTTGGTTTTTGGTTTGAACGAAGTCTTGTAGCTGTTTAGTGAGCTCATCGATCGTGGTCTCCGCGGCTTGGTAACGGTCAGTCAAGGTAGATAGCTGCAGCTCGAGATGCTGCGCTCTCGAAACGGCTACACCAGACCAATCGAAAAGCTCAATGGCTTGTTCATCGTTTTGCTTAAGGGCCAGAGAACCAAGCCTTTGCTACCATAGATCAACGTTAGCACACGAGGATCAAAAAGGCCTCATCATATGCAAGTCTGACATACAGTTATAGACTGCACGCGTTTTCGTATCGTGATGATCATCTCTTTGTCCTCATCATCAGACCCAACGATGCTGGCCGATGATTCAATCCCGGATAACAAGCCCTGCCCTGCGTTGCATTGTTCCTGACCAAAAACGTACGACATGATTTTGATCCATTCATCGTCGCTCCCGTGGTAATTTTTTGCGCGGAGGTCTTTTAGGCGTTTCTGCCTTACTGTCCTATAAGTCTGAGTATCCATGAGCATCGAAACGGACGGGAGGAGGCGTACCAGTGCCCGTATATGGGCTTTCCCCTTCGGTGGCAATGACATCTAGATCGAACAGGGAGTCCTTTGGGCGAGAAACGTTGAGAAGCACATATCTTCCGGTATCATCTGATCTTGGAATGCATAGTACTTGGGGAGTTGATTGAGACATTGTTGTTGTTTAGAAACAGATAGTAGGTGAATTGACAGGAGTAAAAGGGTGCAGCTGATGTGGAATCACATCCAGGCAGTTGTTGGGCTTTTATCTCAGATAAATGAGTGAGAGTTCTGGTGGAGCCATTGTTGCCTACTTCCGGTCTGGATGCGTTGGATGACGATTTAGGCACATGGCACGGACGGGGCTATCGGAGGTGGGAGCTTGAGCTGGGGTAACTGGAGGTATCTAACCGTGGGTACCGGCCAGGCAGAAACACGGAGCGGGTACTCGAGTATCAGGTACCTAAACCACCGATGTGGATGATACTGGTGAATCAGTTATTGTTTTCAGAAAGTGAAAATGGTTGTCTATTTTTTCATTTTATTGAGGCCAAGATCGGTAAGTATTGTGGAAGAGTGAGTGAGTGTAGGCGTTGTTGAATGGTTTCCCTATCTGTTGAATGCTTCAATATGTTTGGCCAGTCCTATATATATATTGTATTGTCGATCACAGACTCGTCATCATTAAACCATTGTTCCTTATCTCAATACCAAGAGATCATCCCTTGTTTTATATAGTCTGTCTCGTAGACTTTTATGCTTTTGATATGGCATATACTCCGTAGTTAATCTGGTTCTGTTGTTCGAGTGGACATGTGACCAGTCCAGAGGACTCAGGCAACTAATCCAAGGGCATCTCAGGGTTGTGGATCAAACTACCCCGAGTGTCAGAGCAACAACGACTCACTCCACACCAACAAAACAATAGCAATCTTACCTCATTCTTCTATCTGTCACTACACCACCCAGCCCCCTATTGAACAATAACAATGATTGGTTTATATTAGTTTTTTATAAAATTATTTTTTCGTTTTCTTTTTTCAAATTGATGAACTCATGTTGTCATTCTACTTCAAATCCTCACCATGCTGTCTTAAACACTGCTGAGTGAGAGATTATTCACTCCCCGCGGACGACAGTGTTGTGCTGGCCAAGCATCTCATAAAAGTCTCCCTGCCTCTGCCCCCCTAGAGACTGGAAATCTCGCACGCAGCTGTTGTTCTGAAGTCGTGTTTTTCTTCCTTATCTCATGGCTTTATTCATCATACCAGTCCGCTCTCCTCGACACGCCGCCTTTTAATAACCTTGATGGGATCCCTTGATTGCTAACTGCGACACAACTATTTGGTTCCCTCCAGGCTTCATGTGTACAGCCTTCACTCAAGCCCGCTAGGTCACAATCATAAGATCGAATTCTCCCCAAAACAACTCTCGAAAATCCGAACCGCGGTTCTCATTCAAAAAAAAATCACCATCGTTTTGTACGATCCATACGGGATGACGCCCATTGGCTCCTTCGACGCACTTTTAACGCCGAAAGATCCTAGGCTTTGTCGCCTTATCCAGTTGTTACAGGAACGCATACTGAATCGCTGTCTTTGATACCGGCAATACCATGGAGCCATTAACCTTTCCTTTTCACCACCGTGACGAGGAGTCGATTGAGTGTTGGGACGATGACGACGACTTGCTATGCGATGATATCCAATTGCGAGCTGCGTCAACGGCTACCTCTGTAACGAATTCATCCGTACGCCGCTCCGGGCATCGAGATTCAATATCCTCACGCCTTTCTGCACGCTCGGACCTTGATTCCAACCCGGGTGGTGATGAGGACTGGCAAGTTCCTTTAGTGGCTGGCGGGGACATTGTGAGCGAAGAAGCCATTACGTCTGCTAAAAGCGCGGGAATCCCACTACCTTCAAATATTTCTGGATCGGCTCTTGTTGGCGGGACTATCAGACGTCTCGGAAGTAAGAAACCTAAGAAATGTTTGATTGATGATTGGTCTGAGGACGTGGAGTTCCCAGGTCCAGAAAGCGTTCTGGAACTGAAGAGTCCGCCAAAGGGATCTTTCCCAGAGTCTATCCGGCAGGTCAGCTCTCCCACAAGAAGTCCGATAAAGGGCTCGAATCCTGCTTGCTGGGGCGATTATCATACCCCGTCATTCCCGGTATCGGCATATATCGCGCCGCCTGGAGACCAAGACGATGAAGAAGACGGCAGTCAAGATGTTCCTACGATCAAATTGGCGAAGTCTCGATCCCCCCATACGAGGAATTCAGAACAGAGACCCTGGGATGACATACCAAAGAATACGACTGAGGATTTAGAAGACGACTTTGAATTACCGGAAGACTTTGACTTTCAACTTTCGCACCGAAAAGTCAACCCGCAGGATTCAACCGCTGCCCCAGATGACCTGGACGTCGATTGGTCTGAAGGCAGCATTGGGGTTCGATTCGGTGGCACTGGACGAGACCACCGATCGAACCCAAGTTCCTCTGTCTCTGTAGTCAGTCCCAGCGCATCCAGTTGTCTCACCGGTGAAAGTGACGATGAAGGTCTTGATGGTCTTGTTATTCCAGAAGGCCCATTGAGTCTGGGAACGCCTCTGAATAAACCCCGAGAACCAAACACTGCCGTCGTGGACAATTCTGCGTCGAGCACGAATTTCCAAGAGTCGGTTAAATCCGAAGACTTCTTCTCAGATCTTGAAATTGGCGATCTCGACCCTTTTAGTCCTAGGAAGTTTACAGTCAATCCGAACGTCAAATGCAAGAAAGAGCGCACAGAAGGTTCGCCACGACGTTCGGCCACAACACTCACCTTTACGAATACAACTGGGTCCCCAAGGACACGGATTCCCCGTCTCTCAAACCACGAACGACAACATTCAACCCACCTCGAAACCGTCTCAGAAAGCGGTGCGCCACTGGCCAAGTTTCGGGCGTCTCAATCCCGAGGCGACTACTCCTATCATTCTTCTGCGTCTAGACATTCTTCTGGCTCTACATCACCATCACCCGGACCCTTGGCCCCAGCCCGACGGCTAGTTGGCGCACGGATATCGAGAGATGCGCCTGTCGACAAAAGCGCCAGTGGCGGGAAACGATTACTCAATACGAAGAGATCGATGCCAACAATGCGACATATGCACCACACAACATCGACGTCATCTCGAGGTCCGCCTCGCAAGGATGTGACGAACTGGTCTAATCTTTACGCTAGCGGGTCTAGAAGTCCTGTTGACCGCGTAGGAATTGATACTAAAGCGGTCGGCCGTAAATTACAGGCACCTTTCATTCCAGCCGGGGCTTCTGAAAGACAGTCTCATCACGCCAGCCTCAAAACCTATCGACACTCTCGCCGAAGCGACTCGGAGGGTTCTAATGACATCTATTATCCACAAGGGCCTTCACCCCGAGTGTCCCGTCCGAATCTCCGTGGGAGTTTGGGGGGTAGCTCCAGTGATTTAAGCCCAGAGACCGTAATGTCGAGCGCCTCACGAACGCTTACTCGGCCGGCTCGTCGGCGCCATTTCGGCGATGGCACAGAATTGGCTTCCTTCGATGATTTGCCCACATCTACTTCCGCTGAGAGCAAGTTCATGAAGCAACCTTCTGGGCGAGGTGTGCCGAGATCATTAAAAGGCAAACTCGAGCGGAGTAACCCAGCTCCGCAGGGAACGGATGTTCCTCGTCAGCAAGTACAACAAGCACAGCGTACACCATCCAAAACAGGTGATTTTACTCCGCGATTTGCGCGCGATACAAATGCCTCGAGAAACGCCAGGGAACAGCGCATTGCTTCGATGACGTTTAACGTGAAGAATCGTGACAGCGACCTTTCTGATTCTTTCAACGCGAACTTCAAAGCTCAGAGTGCCTCGCGCGTGCCGTCGGGTACAAGGACTATCCGAAGCAAAAGAAGCCGGCCTCCTGTCGGCTCTAAATCAAAGCCGCAGCTGATCAAGCCGATGGGGGCCGGTGTTCAGGAGCCCAAATGTAAGTCGAAACATCTTTGCGGGTAGCCATCGATACTGACATTCCCAGCTATGAATGGCATGCGATACAACCCCAGCACGTTTCGTTGGGAAGGAAATGAGAACCTAGTGCAGGAGTTTGACACAAACTCCCCCAAAACGCCAAAACCAGCGCCGGCGCTCATAACCAACATAGGCGCGATGCAAAACGTACAGGTAGTTGGGGGGATGATCTTTGATCCCCAGCGGATGTGTTGGCTAAGGCTGGCCCCACTGCAACCCGGAACCAAGGGCCTGGTAGCGGTCCAGGATGAGGACGATGTTTTCGCCGGTCTTGACGACCTAGAAGAAAAAGGGAGGCTATCTGGCGGACGAAATTCGGGTGCACATGACGATCCTGGCCTTGGTGGAAGCGGGGATGATCGGAGTTGTGGAGGATCGTCCGACGAATGGCCCATCACGGAGGAGTTCGACGTCGGTCCAGAATTTGTCAAACGTCAGCGTGCAGAGGAAGACAAGTGGAGACGCAAGGTCGACAAATGGACTACGTTCGATCGTGGAGAACTCGGAGAAGGGTGGAGGTGGACCATTCGAGACTTGGTGGGATTTGGCAGCAATTTCGGGGCTCGGAGACTGAACGACGTATAATTCGATTAGGGCCACCTGCGCGCAAAATCCCTGGAGGAGGATGGTTTCTGGAAACAGGGGACTGTGGTACAAACACAAGTAAAGGCAGCGTCAGCGAGCGTCTGTCCTTTGGTGGTTGATCCGTTCTTGTTTGATATTTAGATGCTCACGGCGGTATAACTTTTATGGGGCGACCAATTGTGGCTGGGTATGATGAACACTCTGTACGAGATTATGATGAAGCATTATGAATAATTGAATCTCATGAACCTGTTAGAAGTTACATTTCGCGTTGGTTTCAGTTCTTCCAATCATGCACGTTTGACAAGTTCAGGCAAGAATAATCCGCCATGATTGTTTCATTTCACTATGCATTCCCGGTATGTCCCAATGTAAAAGCTGGATATCTCATTGGAGAGGTCTTTTGTTTGTCTCATTCCCATAGCCTAAATAGCTCGTTGTTGCCCTTATATCAGGGCGATATTACCATATATGTTCCCCATGTCATAATTGATCAAGTAGATCTCCCTAACACGGAGATATTGGCCTATGCTTTTCATCCAACAGCCTCGCATGGCTCGGAGACATTTGTTGTTGTCAATGATCGTTCTGTATTCCGTTACAGGATCTTCCCAGTCCACACATAAGAGCAATATAGAAGCCAGCTGATGCTTACACTCGCTAAATGTGTCCAATGCAAAGGATTCGTCAGGAGACTACGATCCAATGGAGCTGTCTTCATATAGATGCGTACGATAATCAGCTCATAATCTTATAGCCATCTGCATATATTCTCCGACGAGAACCGGTGGTTTCCTGGACAGAGCCTCCAGGATCACAGCCTTAGCGCTTCGAGTTCCTCTCCAACGGAGAATATCCATGCGCCTTGTAGTCCGAACGGGCAATACAATCCACAACCGTGCATCAGATGGTGAAAACAGGTTTCTTGACGTTTTGTATCCATCGTAATCGTACAGGCAGATACGTTCATACGGTTTGGGCCTTGGCCATGATGGTACTAGGTAAGTAGGTAATACTGCTTTTGATACCGCCCCGGAGCTGAGGCTAGGCTGGCTGGGCCTTGGTGCATATGACCGATAGGGTCCTTCAGTTGAAGAGGTTCCACATCAAACAACTTGACTCTGCTGCTAGCACATTCGGACATCGGTAGGCTGACAGCTCGTCCACCTAGATTACTAGGTACCTACCTACTGCTCTCTCGTGTACCAATTCTAGGAGGTGTCGAATAGAACCATGGGAGGTCAGGGATGAGACAGACATTCTGAAACAAGATCTTCCAGGTATTGTTGGGAGGATATTTCCAACTCCTTGATTCCAGGGCAGGGGAGCCCTGTCATCTATGTGTTGGTTGGCAAGGCGTAATAAACGACACGGCGGCAAAGGAAAATGTCAACATAGGTTCACGCAGCACGCTGGCATCTTGGGACTCGTTACAATATTCTAAACTCTTCTGCCTCTGCTTTTTGATGGGGGCGTTGAGCAACCCTCTAGCGCAAAGTTATCAACCAGGCTTTTGCCCCCTTGCGGTAGATAGTTACCCGGTCAATTTCAAGCATTGAGGCTCTCGTGGCATATAAGATCGTGCTTGGTATTTAGATTCTATGCATGTTGGGGCTTGATCGCTAATCCAATTGGGCAAATCTCAAGCAGAGACAGAAGAAGAAAAGCTATCTCCAAGGTTTAGGGCCTCGCCCTGAATTACCGCAGAGCTTCGCGCAAGATACTGGTTGGCTAATAGCTAGCTTGAACGACCTAAGTAATAGGTAGATGGTAATGACAACTCTTGATCGAAAACAAGAAGAAACCGTGGATGTTTGACAACTAAACTGCAGATGCAGCATCAATGTCACGGTCCTAGCCAGAGTGGGATGGTTAGAAAACACGAGAGGAAATCTCTTGGAGAGAAGGGGATTTTGTTTGCAGGGGTTATGCAGCAACTTAGGGCCTGTGAGACCAAGCCACATTGGCTATCCTGATTTGATACATACCTAGGGGGTTTTTTTTTCTGGAGGGTGGCTGGGGTGAATATGGAATTGTCTTGGATGAACCCCTGTAGGAGAGCGATGCAGAGTATGTAAGTGTGCTTGATCTGGAGAGGGTTGTCGATGATGTACAAAGTAATTATGGATTCGACAGTCAACCAGTGATGAATGGAAGAATGACTCGTGCCTGTCAAGCCGGCTACTTGCAGCATACCCACACCTTGTCGATCCTCGACGAGATTAGGCTACTGTGCTAACACTGTGATGACTGGAGCGGTTAGTTCGGCAAGTACATACTTGGCAGTCTTGAAGAGAGCTATGTGAGAGATTAGTATGGCGTGGACTCACTTGCAGTCTAGGTACTGGGGGATAAGATGACCCTAGAAAGATGTGCATATTCATGTTTGTGTGACTAACATCCCCGTACATGAAGGCTACTAGAGATCAGAGGTGAGACAGTAAATAATGGTACGATAATATAGAGCCATCTTACAGCTGAATCGGTGCCAGAAGCGCAGAGAACCTGGTCCGGCGAGCTGTTCCGGGTTTCATCTTCGATTTGACAGGCCAGTCTCTCTTCTTGATCATTCAAGGTGAGCATGCGCCAAGAATAGGATGATAATATTCCTTGACTTTGGCAAACAAGCCGAAAAGAAACCGCCTCGCCGGTCATTAATAGGCTATGCCGGACTTTCATTCGTATGTGCGTAATGAATGGTTATGCATGGTTTCAAGTGCTTTTCTATCTATAAGTCTAGGTAGATCTGTAGGTGCATGATTCATATGATTTTGCTCTGCAGCCAGGGTTTTAGATTACCTATCTATGATAGTCGTGCCCATGACCAAAGATATTGGTGACATCTTAATGCTATAGAGTGTCGACTGTTCTGTCGTGTCCGTATAATATCTGATAGAAAGGATCAAGTATATCAAGAAAATTCCTATGATGGTCATAGTCAAAGACATTCCTAAGTGGTCTCTGTCCTACCCTCTTTCTACTAGGTCTTCTGTATAGGATCCAAACTTCATCAAACCCCTTATTCTCTTATTAGCTCCTGTTATGGTGCTATCTTTCTAATGCTGTTGCTTGGCCCACTCAGCTCCAAATACCCGTCATGTGTGATCCTTGTCTATTCCCTGTCTGTTTCCTGCTTGCTTCCTGTCTGTTCCACAATGGCTTGACTGTATTGGGATATTGCATTTCGCCCCTCTTACTGCACAGTATTCATTTTCTTTTCTTTCCCTGCCAAGAAAAATTCTTGTCAAGATTTTCCAACCCTGTCCGAGTAGTATTTCCATGACCAATATTTTTTTCTCTATATTCACCTGCTTTGTTATTCTAAATTCTATGCCTGTTTGGCGTTTATGCGCGTGTATGCTCATGTGAATGAAAGTCTTGGTAACTGACCATCTCATTTTCTTTGATTAACATATATGGCGATTAACAGTCTCAGTAATGGTTACCATGTATCCTTGGTGAGCAGGGTGTTATGGGCTTATGCATACTGAGATAGTGCTTTCCATGCTGCTTCATACACACACACACACACACACACACACACACACATGCACATGTATACCTGCTTATACACGCACATACACATCATACACACATATACACACGCGCATACACACACACACACACACACACACATAACTCTTTTCCATCAAGAAAAAGAAAAATAATTGAACATAATAGATCAGATCAAGAAGAAGTTTGAGACAAAGGCGTGGCATACTCGATATTTGACTACAACTCTGCGACTCTATACCTATCTCTTGTATAAAGACTGTGTGTGGTCCTTCTGCCTTTCTTTTCGCTGTTATTCACTTTCTACGTTGTTTTACAGCCTACAGCTTTCCCAAAAAAAATTCAAGGTCTCCGCCGTGATACTCTTTAGGAAACACCAACATCTCTACATTCCATTTGTCTACCAAGCCATTGCTATTGGTATTTGTCTTATTCTTTAAGATATAGGTGATATTTCTGACCTAAGGGTTCGCAGTGAGATAATAATCAGTTACTCTCTACCTGTTTAATACTGGGCGTCATTTTATATGCCCATCTTGCTTTGAATTTATTATTCATTATTCGTTTGATTATTATCTGCATCATGAGTAGTTTTGGAAGACGCAGCAATGATGCACATGAAAACTATGTCATGAACCATCAAATCGCCCTCCCCACTCCATACAACCATGGTGATAACCACGAATTCGGGGTCAACGAACCCGGACAGTATCAGTTCCCACAACAGTCCTTCCATCCGTTCACTGCTCAGTTCAATTCACCTTATGGGCACCCCGGAATTTCATTACACGCACACCATCTGTCTTCGCATACATCGCCCGGGCACTCGATGTCAACGGTAGATCATCCGGTCTTACAGCATCATCACCATCATCATCAGGTGCAGTACATGTCACAGCCACGCTATCTCCAATCTCCAAGATATCTACCTCTCCGCGAAGCCCTCGGTGAGACGGATATCGAGAGCCAGGAATCCAGAAACGAGGGCACGATGCTTTCGGAGCCCGTTCTTCCAGCGCTGGAAGGATTCCCCGATGTGAGAGAATTCGATCAATTGATGAAAAGGTAGACTAGCGTCCGATTGCCCCAAATATCTCTAGCAGCATGTTGATTTTGAAACAAAGTTATGTCGACGACCTATCAGTCAAGAAGCAAGACAAAGCCCTAATCCATGCAAAGAGGGCACGGAATATCAGGACGGTATTGATAGATCCCAAAGACACTGCCATTGAATCGGCCCAATTTCGGTATGATTAATTTATCCCTCTAGCCGTCGAATGCTTGAAAAATCTTTCCACAATTGAGGGCTTTCCTACCAAGCTTCCTTACCCAAAGGTGCCTGAGGAACAACATGCAAACTAATCATAACTAGGTTTTGGGTCAAGAAAATGTTCAAACTTCAAGCAGCTGGCACTGCGTCTCCAGATGTTCGTATATATATCGTCGAAGCAGAGTAATTGGCAAGACTAACTTGTACCAAGTGCATGAAGGTGATTTGCCACGAAGGAAAACCGGTAGCCGTTCGAGAAAAATTGTTCAAAATCCTCACCAAGGCACATCAACAGTGCCAACATGGCGGCAGAGACAAGACTTCCGCCCAGGTTCGACAGTTCTATTCGTGGTAGGTAAAATCTCGAGGTTATCCCAAACAAGCCGGATTTGAGCTGTACCTACCAAGACATATTGACGCATCATACGTACATCATACTGATCAGATACTAGGGTCCCGAAGGAACTTATTTCGCGCTTCGTCAAGATTTGTCCAACCTGCCAAGTGCGCCGAGGAGGATCGCGCCTGACACCTCCTAATTCAAGGAGAAGCTCACCCCGACTCGAAATGGCACCGCGCTCTCCGAAATTGCCGTCGCCGCCTATATCGAGGCGCGAGTCTGCCATAAGCCACCATATCCAACCTGAGAGAGCGCAGGCAGATTACTTCAATCATTTCAGCGGTCATACAAGCTGGGTGGACAGTCAGCGTCAGTTGCAGGGGCGACAGAACATGGGCCCCATCCGTTCATTCGTTAGCGGAACAGTGAACCATCTTCCGGGACCGCTCACTGGAACAGTGGATTCTTTTCATAGCGACATACCAACGGCCCCTGCTCAGGTCAATTACAACTCCGGGTATGCTTCTACTCAGGGTGCGCCCAGCCAACGGGACTTTTAACCATCTTTATCTCGTTCACGATCTATCATATGTTTTTCCTAAGGTTTATACAAATGTAACTAAGCTATAGTGCAGTACAGTACTACTACTATATAGTTAAGCATTGGGGCTCTGTACTTGCTCTATCTTTTGAGTTGTATCCTCTTGTAGGTAATTGCTTGGACACCCGACCAAGTGATATAACCAGCAATGGAAAGTTGGTATCCGCCCAAAGACGGAACTCGAAGAATGGAATAGATATGATATCGAAAGTTTGTGACAAACGGGGAGGAAAGTTGAAAAGGAAAAGAAAACTACAAATCTGCACATGCAGAATTGATGGAATTGCGGGTCTACAAACTCCCCATTTAAATTCCATCGCCCGTAGGGTCGGGTGATCTACCCGGTGTTCCTCTATATTGGGCTCCACTCCGGTAGGTGGATCCACCGAACTAGGTTTTTAAGCTTTGCGCCAGTGGTATTGGCCAGGACTCGGTGGGCACTGCGATGTGTGCGATGTACTTTGTAGTGATGATAACCAGGGATCGGCGAAGGCGCGGGGAAGCAGAAGGTTACCGATGAATACAGTTATCTGTTAGTCTGAGTGGAAGTCAGTGTGCGCGGAGCCCTTTGTTACGAAAGTGTCATAGGGTCTATCAACGTACACCGTAATGGGCGGCTGGGAAAGGAGTTGATAATTTCACTAATAACTGCTATTCCCTATATGGGGACAGGGAAAGGAGGGAAAGAAGGAAGGAGGAGGGAACTCCACATCATGAATCAGTCTATTCCTCACCGACCTATCAATGTATATACGCTTGTAAGAGATCTTGCAGGGTAGATCTACAGGGTAGATACAATTAGATGAAACCATGATCGGGGGTTTTTACAACAAAACCCCTTTCTGTCTCACATCAGGTCTATCAGTTACGGGACATAGAAGACCTCGTATGATATCGTCGTAAATTCTCATGCAGTGGCACAGTAGATCCAACTGTATGAAGAAATTTAGAATTGTAAGGACTTGATAGAGCTTAACATGTCCATAGGGTTACCTGCTCGTAAGAACCAAAAACATAGTCATTCGATAGTCTGCTCTATAGGGCCTGGTTTGAGATTTATGTACTATGCCTATATGTAACATTTACATGATTATAGACCACGTATGGAGCATTCACTACATGATAGTAATCCTTAAAGCTTCGGCTAAACCCTGCTGGCGACCACATATGAATACATCGTCTTCAATTTCAACATTGTTAAATCATAATTTTCATCTGTAAACTATTATTCCAATCTGCGATACTGTGCGCTACTAGACAATAGAAGATAGTAGTAGGTTTATAGCCGATTGTGTGTTGGAAAATCATGAATTCTCAGCACCCCTCCCCAGAATTTTACAGTATTTAAAGGTACAAGGAAGCTACAAACAATGATGTAATGTAAACTCTGCTTTAAAACCATCCCTTTCACCAGCATCCAATACTTGGACCGCATCCTTAAACAGGAAGCGAAAACTTCCTTCCCTTCATCACCCTAGAAAAAATCAGTATTGACGCCAGACATGGACCAACGTGGAAAGCGGTGGACTCACTTCGTATAGTAGATATAAAAGAAATCGGAGTACAAGACGGTCTGCACAATACCTGCAAGGACAGGAATGGGTTGAAGATGGCTTTCTGCGAAGTATCGATACACCCAATTAGGAATATAAAGGGCTCGGTATGAACCCAGAGCAAAAAGATAGTGCGTTGTAATAGTATCTGCTTCACCAGTACGCTGGAGCATGAAGAGCTGGGGGAGGATGGCAACAGATTCTAGCCAAATGGAGAATGTCCAAAGGATCTTGTGACTGTTAGAGCATGTCGTCAACGTGACATGTTGGGAACTGACCTCGGAAACACTGTAATCATGGGGGAAGATGATAGCGAGTAGGGCACTGAATCCCACAAGGTACTGAACTTTGAACGTGTCGATGTTGGGATCGTGCGTAGGTTTATAGTCATTCAACATGAGGTAAATTATGTAGGCAGACGAGCCAATAAATAGAATTTTGAACGTTGTGTTGTATAGCGAGTCGGTAAAGGCCCAGAAGAGATCTGCAATTTCGCGGCACAGGTGTGTTAGAAAAGATGTAGACATTGCGAGAGAGGCAGGGCGTACCAAGGTATCGTGTCACAAACACTACCAAATACAATGCTTGCGATTTGAAAGACAACCCGGAGCAGCTCTAGAAAAGCACGTTAGCCAGAAGAAATAGTCACAGAAAAGTGATCATACGCTTGAAGACTTCATTTTATGTAGAAGTATGAATATAGAAGCAAGATGAGAGAAATCGGCTAACCCGCTTGTTAGAAAAGTCATTTGTTATTCAATATTCAATATAGCACCCACCAAGTAACCTGAAGATATTCATGGTGGAAGGCTTGCTGCGACTTTAACGCCAGTTGAGCGGCAAACCAGACGTTTTGAACTGAATTTGTAGCAGGGACAGATACAAAAATGGGTGAGTTGGGTGGTTTCCGATCAGGTTACCATGTATGGAGTAGTAGATGCTCGGGGCTTCTGGCTTTCTGCCCTTCGAAGAATATACTTAACCAGCTTACGAGATCTTAATGTTGACACGAAGCCACAAGAAGGCTGCGCGCCCCACACGCGCAAGCGCGTGATGTGGTAATACCCGTACACGTACTTTACTATCATACTTGCGCATTTAACTACAGACACAACATCGATTGTAGTTTTCCCTGCTCTTCTTGTTACCAGTAAATAATAACCTACGGGGTGGAAGAATAATCAAATTTTCATATTGGACAGGCCAAAAGTAGAATATGCCATGCTTTCTGAGGATGAATATCCAAAGCAAACCAACGTTTGCCAGAAATTTTACTGCCCGACGAGGGAATCATAACGTCATCAACGTTCAAATTAATTCTTGTAACTCTTTCGAATATTTGTGATACTAAAACAAAGTTCCTGCCTGGACACAACCACCATCTGCTAGGCGCTGTAGATGCCCCTCTGCCAAATCGCTTTTTAAAGCACAGATTGAGCTTTCTCGGTCAAACCTATCCCAATCTCTGGTCCCTAGCCTTTTCAGACTTTGGCTGTCTGTATTCTGCTCGAGAAGCCGATCCTGGTCGGAATCTAATTGGGAGAGGCGCTTCTCGATAGAGACATCTAAACTGGAGGAAATAATCCGGCCCCCAGGAATTATGGAGCAAGAACTCGATAAATGGTTCATATACCGCGGAGCACGAGGGTGATTAAGAACCCCAGCATTGCTGCCCTGCCGGTAAGTGTTCTGACGAATGATTTCAGCTCCCTGATTCTGCGGGCCATTGATATTGCGTGGGCCAGTAGGAGGACCGTAAGGCATAGTAGAGGCAGGGCCACGGCGAGCAGATCCACCAGCCCAACTGCCTTCCTTGAAACCTGCACCCCCTCGAGGACGGGTCGGCGCTGACAGTAGAGATAGATTTATGCCACGGTGATGGGAAAACTGGTGTTTGGGGCCATGCGACGGTCCAGAAGGTGGGGATTGACTTTGCAATGAAGGAAAGGCCCTGGGGTGACTGGGGATACTGGGGGAAAGTGCGTTGTCCAGTCGAGGATCCCTTTCATGAACATCGCTGAGCCGAGACACTCCAATATCGCCAAAATCAGTATCATTACTCGACATATGTGGGTGTTGCTCTGACGCTGTAAGCCTTGGGTTGGTGTCGTCCTTGCCCAACTTATAAGGCGCGGGGACTACACGGTCTTGATCCGGGGGTTTGGACGAACGCCGATCGTGGGTGGGGTGGGCGGGCGATCGGTCTGTTGAGTCCAGCTGAGTCGCACTGACTCTGTCGACCGAGGGTGATGAAAGTCTCGAATTGGAATGAGAACCAGGGGCCGAAGCATGGACAGATGGGACTCTTCTAGGGGATGGCGACCGTCTCCTCTGGTTCAGTAAACCATCCAAGTGGCGCTCCCTCTGCACTCCCCGATACGGACTCCGAGACCGAGATATTGCCGATGCACGAGGCCCATTGTCTCGCACGGGAGGCTGTCTTGAGGACGGACTGTATCTGACATAGTGATCAGGAATAGACGACCTTTCATTCCTCGAGAACCTGGAATCTTGATGAACGGGCGAGGGGTCCCGAGGCCTTTTGGACGGGGGCCGGCTCCATGAAGTATTACGGGGACGGCCTTCATTATACGGAGACCTTGGGCGCCACGAGGTTTGGCGAGGTGATCTGGGTCTCCCGTCTCGTCGAGGAGAAAATCGGCGTAAGGGGGGGCTCGATCTAGCATATGAAGAAAGACCAGGATCCCTGCTATAAGGCGAGGGACTTCGAGAAGAACGACGCCTAAACCCCGGGGGAGAACGACTCCGAACACGTCCATACGTGCGAGTCGTGGACGGTACCCATGTATCAGCAAACAGGCGAGGAGATCGGTTTCGCTGTGGTGACCGACTTCGACGAAAATAGCTGCGGGAGTTTGCTGGCCGATAACTCTCTCCGCCCCGGTGATCATCAAACCTACCGTAATAGATAATGTCAGTCCTATGAGTCTTTATAGTAAAGTATGCTGTGATGGCCAGGGTAAAGATTTGTTTCAGATGGAAGCAGACCTCCTATTACGATCCCAATCCATTTTGATGAGATCTAAGAGTTGTACACTAAACAGGTTTCAGTAAAGGGCGGCCAATGATGGTATTTGAGGGTTTTGGAGTCCGCCGCGAACTGGTGGATACTGCTCTCAAGACGATTATGGTCAAGTCGCCACCCTCATGCGCAAGTAAGTATGAGACTAGGCTATTTGAGGTTAGGTGCAAACAGAGCCTGGAGGCTAGTGGTACCAGGTCGGTACCTGCCTAGTAAGGTAACTGGTTAGTCAGTTTGAATGGTCTCTTGATTAAATAGGTGTAGTTTATAAAAGATAAAACGAATATAACTATGCATAGTTATTATTATTAAAAGACGAGTAATCTATAGAGCTTGTCAATTGATTGAACTATTCAAATATGAAACATATCATAATGTGATTAAATGCCTTTATAAGATTCCAAGATCATCCACCATACCTGATGTTACCCCACTCACTAGAAACTGTGGTCCCTTGTCATGGTAATATTGGCCTTGTGTACTCTGTACGTATGTGGCATTGCTCAGTGTAGTCTCAAGCAGATATAGATATTAGATAGTCATAGATACAAATAGACTGGTTGTGGAGAATAGCAGCAGGATCGCCCAGAGCTCTCCCTCACACAGGAATTTCATATTGATTGAATACAGATGGTCTCTTCGCCCTGAGAGATCCACCTTTGTCAGGCATGTAGTCAATAAGTAGCCTTCTAGAAACCAATACCTCGTCGGCCTATCTGTCGCCCTGATTGGACCACACCACTCACATACCTTATGCTGTACTCCACTTCTTTTTCTTATACAAGAGCCACAAATGATTCCTGTAGATGCTAACCATGTCAAAGTTGTCTTCATCCGAAATTTTATAAAACAAGAATAGATATTGTACCTTATTGAAATTATAGCACTTCTCATTCGTTTTCACTGATTGAATATTGGTTACAAATCCACTGTAGTAGTCAATAGATTATGATCTAAAGAGAAGTTGCCTTGTTACTTGCATCATCAAATCAGGTGCTGAGAGATGTGATATGCAATAGAGGCCCCACCAAATTAGTGCTCTACTATACAAGGTATTGTGGTTCTTGGGGTGCCTGGGTACATGGCTGCCAGACATGGTGGTCTTTCAGCCTAGTGATGATCATGACAACTCCTATTCCTACTTCTCCACAAAGTAATCAGGTAACGTAAATGAACATTATGTATTCCCTTACAAAATAGACCCTTAAAACTAAGCACAGTCCCCAAGCTCTGCTGCACTCCCCGGCGTCGTCTTCGACTCGTGTCTCTTTTTTACAGAAGCGATCTCATCTGTAAGCACTCTGTCTTGCAAAGCAGCTTGCGCTGCTGCATTGCCGGCAATTCCTTTACTTGGTCCTTGCCCAGAACCTAGGCACTTATCATGCCATCCCCAACCAGTGAGATACACCCCGATAGAAAATGTCTGTATACCATTTCTGTGTTGTACGGGTGGTCGCTCATCAACGTACCTCAGTTTAATACCTCTGCCCATTATCTTTTTCGCCAACTGCTCCTTAGCGTGGCAAGGTGAGGGCCGAGCATCGACATCCCCAAGTTTCGGCAGCCACAGTTCTTTCAGCCATTTTTCAGCCACATCGTAGCCGCAGATGGGATCAGACAGTACAATAGCAGCCACATAGGCCTCGAAAATGTCACCCATTGTTTTTGTCCAGCGCTTTGGTTGGGACACGTAGTCCTGTGGCACGATGGCGCGTTTATCGAGACCATATCCTGTCGCATATTCGGAGAGAGTTTCGTTTTTCACCAGTAGTTCCCTGATTTGCGATATCCGACCAGAAGCCATTCGGTCAAATTTGGTCCAAATCAGCTTTGTTGCAAAGAGTTCTATATAGGCATCTCCAAGGATCTCAAGCCGATCATATGTTGTGTCGTGATGGCTGTTTACTCCAGGATGCGTGAAAACCGCCCTTTCGAGCTTTTCATCTAGTATAGGGGGCAGTGGCGGTAGCCTGCCTTTGTAGTTTTCACAAGCTACATCCGAAGAAGTGACAGGTTTCACGCTGCGCAAAGCTTTATTTAGTTCAGCTGCTGCTTTCACGATGGCTGGTTTCAGCCCGGGCGGTTGTGACTCTATCATGCGTAATTTGTCGAGAACATCTTCAACAATTTTATCAGCAGGTAGTTGATTTATCCCAGATCCTTGGTTTTTTTTTAACGTGTTGCTTGACTGGGATGTGTTTGCTGTGTTCTCTGAGACATTAGTCTTCCAAGATTAGTATGAGCTAGAAAATTTGTATTATAGAGTGGGTTTTTCTTTACCTTAGCCTTTTTGGGGTGTTTACCAGAAGATGAAACTCCTGGGGTAAGTTCGGTCTTTCTTTTCAAATCCATGGGTATAGACTGTAATTCGATTGTTTTTAGATTATCAAAAGGTGGATTGACATGGATAGTGATTTTGGAGTTAACGGTCACGTGATTGAAACACATCTTGCGATATCTCCGGGCCTCCGCGGCATATCATTCTATTAATCACAGCTTCTAGCGTGTTGCCCATAATGGCCACACCTTATGCTAGTCGACTATTGCATCTAGCAAAGGTGTGCTTGCATTACTGATTATACCCATTTGTCCGCAAAAGTTCACTAGACTGACTACGCGGCCAGGTTCGATGCCATGTGTTTTCTCACAACTTCAATCCCGAGCGTTTGCGATTAGGAAACAGTATCCTTCGGCAACGACTACGCGGACCTACACTTACCGCGTGGTATCCCAAAAAGACTGTTTCTTTCCGTGATCTACAAGATACCTATCAACCGCTTGGTTTAACTACCTTTGATGAAGCCGAGGATGATCGAGAAGAAGCAATTCAAATGTACGAGTTAACCTAAATCTGAGCCATTTGCAAGCCTGCCTTATATGATATCTGTGATATTTTTGCTGACGCATACAAGCGCGAAATCCCGAGGAAAGGGGAGACCCAAGAAGAAGCGAACTGCTGAAGGTATGTGTCACAGCACTATCATCTATTTCTAATGTCCCTGCTTAACATATGTTTCCAGAGTCGAGATCATCAAAGAAGAAGAAATAAACCAAATCATTTGTCCTAATTCAGTTGATTGGTGACATGGTGTGTTTTACTTTATCACAGCTTGGAGGCTTGCCCCCGACACTCGACGATAGACTTGGTGCAGTCCTTTTGTAAGCAGACTTGTAATTATAAATTGAAAATGAGAGCTTGAAAGTATACATCAATCCAGAATATACCCAGTTAAAGGTTGCGTTTGAAAATGGCTTGCTTCCAGGTTCCAGTATAGATCAATATCAATCCAGGGTATGATGAATACTACAAGAGACTGGAAATCATTTCAAATCTCTCCAGAATATACCCCATATGATACATCGTACACCATTGACTCGTCTTTTTTCTGCCTTGAACCTGTATCACGTGACTTGACCGCCCGGTATCTGACTCCCGATGCCTGCGTAATATTAGTATAATGCCGGCCCTGCAAGCTCCTTCCTACCACTCACTCTTCATCCTGACGGCCACGCTATTTGACCAGAAAATCTAACCAATTTGCGTGTTCTTTCACCGAAAACTAAATCATCCCACCTAGTCATTTACAATCGCACTCTTGGTGTCCTTTCGGCAATGAAACCAAATAAAAATCAACTGAGAAGAGCGCGCAAAAAGGCGCTTAGAAACCAGGTATGATTACGCTAAAAGAAAGTTGAAGTCTGGAGAAGCTAACTTGATATTCAAGGAAAATGAAAAGGCTTCTGCTCCAACTTCTTCGGCCACCCCTACAGGAACTTCTTCAGAAGACTCCGGCGTAAATTTGCTTCCCGAAGCACCAGAACCGGATGATCCATTGTGGGAAATGTATAAAGATGTCGCTAGCAAATTCAGTGATCTTGGTGAAGATACGCAGCGGCCAAAAGAGGCTGAGAAACCCGAGGTCTATTTTGATGACGACAATGAAATACCAGATGAAGAAGGACGGGAACCAAAACTTTCTAAAAAGAAAAGAAAAGAGTTAAACCAGCTCTCAGTTGCAGAGCTCAAAGCAATGGTTCGGCGACCAGAAATCGTTGAGTGGACAGATACTTCAGCCCCTGACCCTCGACTTCTGGTTCATATCAAAGCCCATCGCAATGTTGTTCCTGTGCCGGCCCACTGGTCGCTCAAACGGGAATATCTCTCATCAAAACGAGGAATAGAAAAGGCACCATTTTCGCTGCCTCGATTTATACAGGAGACCGGCATTTCAGAAATGCGTGATGCCGCTTTGGAGAAGCAAGAACAGGCTACACTGAAGCAAAAACAAAGAGAGAGAGTCCAGCCAAAAATGGGGAAGCTGGACATCGATTATCAGAAATTATACGAAGCATTCTTTCGTTTTCAAACGAAACCTGAACTTACAAGATATGGCGAGGTTTACTACGAAGGGAAGGAATACGAGACCAATCTTAGACACCTACGGCCGGGAGAACTCAGCTCAGAGCTCAAAGATGCCCTCAACATGCCTCCCGGGGCTCCTCCGCCTTGGTTAATCAACCAACAACGTTACGGCCCCCCGCCATCCTACCCTGCCCTTAAAATTCCGGGCCTCAATGCTCCTCCACCGTCTGGTGCCATGTGGGGATATCATCCAGGTGGCTACGGAAAGCCGCCAGTGGATGAACACAATCGGCCTCTTTATGGCGGTGATATATTTGGGGTGTTACAGCCTCAGCAGACTTTGCAGCAGGGTGAACCCGTCGAAAGAGACCTCTGGGGTGAACTACAACCCTATGACCAGTCCGAGGAAGAAAGTGAAGAAGAGGATGACGAACTTGACGAAGATGAGATCGATGCAGGTATACAGAGCCCCAGTGGGCTTGAGACACCAAGCGGGTTAGCATCAGCCGTTCCTTCAGAAATCATCGGGGCGGAAGACGTTTCAGGGGAATTCGATGTGCGTAAGCATCATGGAGGCACGCAGACAGAGGATTCGACGAACCAGAGAAACGCCTTCCAGGTCATTCCGGAGAGACAGGCGAATGTACAGGGTTTCTTCGGAGGAGATAGAATGTATGACCTGAGTGCCCCGTCACAAAATCTGCCTGTACTTGGCGAGGATGAACAAAACCGAAAGCGCAAGAAGCCCGGTGATGTTGATGTGGCTGTGGACCCCGAGACATTGGAAGCAAGCGGGAGAATAAGCAAGGGCGATGTCCAACAACTTTATGACACAAGCCGCGAGGAGAGCCACCACCAATGGGATTTTCAGGAGGATCTTAGTGACATGATTGCTTATGAAAACCGTAAGAGGTTAAGGAAAGATGAGGAGATTCGCCAGAAACGATGATTGTTGATGCCATGGATTCTTTAGGATTTGTTACCAGCGATTTTCAAGTGTATATTAATGTTGTCAGTTTCTCGGCAAGATCTACATGCCCTGCAGGCTACGTTCCCATTTTTGTGGGTGATTGATATGGTTTTGAGAGCATTCAAAATTGTCTCTTCGCACTGTTCTGTCCCAATTTCAAGGAGTAGTAGGAATAGTAGTACTCATTATCCTCCTGTCCTAGCTTGTCTAACTAATTAGCTGCCATGTAGGGCTTAGGCAAAGTACAGCTCTGCTTGAATAAACCTGTGGCCTGTATAAAAAAAAATACTACTATGATAATAACTGAGAAATATCACTTACATATAATCTTATTCTTATAATTCTTTTTTCAGGCTTTGATTATAACTTTTGTATAATTAGTTTCATCTCTTAATATTAGATCTATACTATATTATCTATTCACATGATTTTATACTTACTACTTTTTATTAGTGCTCAAAAAATTTATGAATATATACAGATTAGAGAATTTTTTATCAGATTGGATAATAACTTAAATACTAATTTTAAAATATATATATAGATAAATATTCTAAAAATAGTATTTTTATGGTTTTTACTTATAAATTAGCCCAGTGAGCAGGTTTTAACAGGTATACTAGTCTGTTTCAGGGATAGAATTTAGTCTTAACTAGCTTATATTATGCAGTAGTTGTTAGGCGGCAGCCTCAGGCTAGTGTTGGACTGGATCAGTTTGAGTTGGATCAGTGCCCTAATGGATTAGTTTATTAGATCAGTTTTCCCTAGAATTTCAGTCAGATGTCACGGCCAGGAATAGAGATCAATGGTTCAGCTTGGTAAAAGTGGATAAGAGTTAACTTGCGGATAGATATATAGCTGATATCTAATTAAAGAGGTCTTATTATATATAATAGTCAGGAGAATCACTGTTTAAAAGAGATAAGTAATTTATTTTAAATATTAATATATCTACTCTTTTACTTATATTCTTTCTATCTTATAGAGATATTTATTAATAAGTAAGAAATTAGCTGCCTAAATAATATCTATTTTAATTCTTATATTAATTAATATATTATTATTTATAATTTAAATTACTTCCTATTACTTTCTACAAGATATCTTAATAAATAACCTGTCTATAGACTAGAGAGGAAATAAAGATTACTAGCTATTAAATTATAAAAAAACTTTCTAGTAAATTCTCTTTATCTAATCTTATACCTGACTAGAAGAAAGATAAGAAAGATCTCTTAAAAATAATTAAAAAAAAACTCTTTATAATTATCTAATAGCTTTTTAATAATAATAAGAAAGAAAAGTCTAGTAAAAAGTATATTAAGATTACTAAATCTAATCTTTTTAAAGAGAAGAATTATTAATAATATCTTATATTTACTTATAATTA